GGAGAATTGGCCTGCATTACATCGCAGGCCCAGGGCTGTTAGCTGAATATCTGGAAAAGCATTCACCCGTTAAGGAAAACGTTGCTTATTTTACATCTATATATTTTATTAATAAAAACTTAGTAATTACTTTTCTAACCTCAGTTGTTTCCATTTTCCATAAATTCTAAAGTTTTACTGTATAAAAGTTTCATCTATTTCAAACGAACAAATACCATTACGATAAATTCGTGAAAAAACTAGAGTAACTAAAAAATAAAATTATACAACCATTTGTATGTACATAGAACACATTATAAATATACAAATATATTACATTCACAGCAACTTCAATAAAGTTCATAATTACATCGCCTCAATTCATTGTTAAACATTAATTGCGATTGAAATTTTTAGCGTCAACACGATATAAACGTTGACCAAAAGCACATCGGCAGCCATTTTGATTTTGTTTTAGACAAATATTATTTTTAACATTGCATGTTTTGTATAAGTTATCAGCTTGGATCAATGTTCCTTTTAAAAATCGAAACTCGGGTATAAAACAATTATTCCTAGAACTGGCGAAAGAATTTGCAGGGTTTCCGCATTGCACGAAATCGCATAACGCACCGACATTTTTACCATTGTATCCTGACGCTTCATCGGCAAAGGGTCATAATCGGGAGGACATCAAACGTATCAACGGATTGTCTGTTTTCATCGGAGCTACAGAACAACGTGTACCCGTCAAGGAACAGCAAAAAATTAATAAACTGAAAGATATAACGGCGTCCACTCAACAGAACAGGTAAGTATCTTTTCTTCTCAAATCCTTGAGATCAAACATTTAAGCAATATTTTCAAAATTAAATGGACACGATACATACACAAAATACATAATCTATAAATGAACCATCGCAACATTTAAATTTGATCTTTTTCATTAGTTACTGTCTAGAAATATTTTTGTTAGCAAAATTGAAGTTGTTTTAGAAATGGCAACAACAACCACATCATTTATTAAAAATTATATTTGTCGTTTTTTTTATTTATTTGTAACGGTGAATTATTTGGACAAATTAATAGAACGACTCATTACTCATCGCATACATATATAGGTAAATACTTAATTATTTACTTACTTAATACGATGTATTAATTGAAAATTTCTGTGTTACGTGAAGACTATCATTATGTTAATAACATCCATTCCATTTTAATACAAAGAAGAGTGATTATGTTAAATATTTCCATTTATAATATCTACAATCTGATTTTACATTTTATCTGTGTAGGTTTAATTTATTATATCATTTTCATAAATTTTATACGGTTCATTTCAAAGCTATTATGTTCCAGTGAATATAGAAAGTGGTGTAAATCCATTCGAAGTTCAAATAAGAAGAAATCACTTCGTGTTGGACCAATTTTTTCCAAGAAAGGGGAGAAAATAGTATTTAATTTCAAACATTTCGTAAATCCAGAACAAATCGTTGCAGAATATGCTCGAGTTAATATTTATGATAAGTATGATTCGTTTTATTCGATCAAAATAATATTATAGTCAATTAACATCTTGTTTTTATAACATTGACCGAACAAATAATTCAATAGAAATCTAATAATATGAATAATATTAGAATTATCATACAATTCACAAATTATAATACTTTAGGAAATTCTTAAAACAGTTTTGAAACTCATTAATGAATCTTCGCAGACCGCGTTTAGTTAAAGCCGACCGGAAAGAATCAACAAAATTGCTGTCAACGATTCGCCGTGAGAAAAACGATTCAAAAGTGGAGAAACACAAGGTAGAACAATCCTTGACATGCGAGAAGACCCAAATTTATTCTCATTCCACTGAATCAAAATGGAGGTTAAACAAAGTTAGATTTTCTCTACTGAAACAAGTATATACAATAATCTTTTGAAAATAAATCCTTGCGCATGATTTCGGATCAATATGGTCGGCACGTAAACTTTCGCATTTCATCATTTTCTTCTTATAACACTAGGTTTACGGAACGCGTCAATTTAACGTATACTGAATTTTATATAAATTTTTGGTAAACGTTTATGTCGATTTTGATTCATGCAATTACGCGAATAAATACCCTAATTGTCTATTTTTAAACCTCTAATATCGAAGCTTAACACGAACGATCATAATTTTTTCTAGGAAGAATAAAATAAACCGTACAATAAACGTTCATAAACCTATGTGTTAATAACATATCTACAAAAATACCATTTTGAATAGTTTTGTAGTTTGTATACCTTCACAACTTGACAAAATATACATGAAAAACAAAAATGAATCGTTTAAATTGGACATTCAGTAATGAAAAAAAGAAAATAGAAGCTTATAATGACTAATGGAATAAAATATTCTACTTTTATAATATAATGAGGAACCTGTACTTACTACTCGTTAATTAATCATTAATTAGTAATTACCCAAATTATAATATATACAGTCAGCAACAAAAGTATTCGAACATTATGCATGCTTGCAAACAATAAATGTTTCATAATTTACTTGAATATCGCTAAATATTTTTCAAGGTTCGGTCCATGTATATACCATGAATGTAACTTGTTCCAATAAATAACAATATACGATGTACAATCTTTTTAATAATTTATTTCTTACCATGCTGTTCAAATACTTTCGCTGCTGACTGTAAGTTCATTTTGAAATGGCGTCTAATCTCTTAAAAACATCGAAAGTCTACAGAAAGTGTACAGAGGAAGACGAAAAGATCGATAAAAAGGATCCCAGCAACACACAATTTCGTGTATGAATTCAATCCATTTGCAACATCCAAAATATGTTCCACTATTGCAAAACTGCCGAATGAGTTACAGAATGTGTCTAACATTGGTCAAGGAGGTAGGAAAAATTAAAATAAAATCCATAGAAAAGAGAAAATTATTTTTACTAAATGATTAATTATTATACCACTTTAGATAGTCTTTCAAAATGTTTAAACGTCAAGCAAGATAGAAACAATGCTTGCGTACATTGCCCTGCTACATTGCCAAAAGTGCAATCCCGGTGCGATTCGGCATTAGTTAACTTTGAGAAAGAAGATGCAACAAATTCTAATAAAAATACTAATTTACCTAATATAAGATGTGAAGAAACAATAATTGACCAGCGTTTAACGAAACGACACACTGAAAGGCGTAAGATATTTAATACGCATTTTTTATAACTAACCTGCGGATTTATACGTTTATACTTGATAAAAATCTTCGAAAAAAGCAAAACAAAATTCTCATGAAACTCAATTTTTTTTTATATTAATTTTTGTGTACTGAAACTATTAATCTGTTAACTAGAAGAAACAAGTTACATTGTTTAGCATTAACCGTATCGCAACCGGTTTCAACTCTCCGTACTCGAGAATATTTTTCTCAACAAGTATTCATTATTTTCTGATGAGGTATCAATGATACTTTTTGCAACTAATATAGATATGTATATTGTATAAATTAAAAGGCAGAACTATTTTATTTCGATGTTCCATGTGTTGATACATTATATAAAATTTAATATTGGATTTTGAATTTTATCATCTTTCTGGGTCAAGTTAAATGCTGACAGAAATACTTCTCGAGTGCAAAGGGTTAAAATTTAATTTAAAATTTTGCATTTTCTTTCGTTCATTTAATTTTACATGAATTCCTACATTGATCGATCAATCAGTTTTCCAATTCATCTTTCCTTTTGCTTCTGTTTCCACTAACAAAGATTTATCTAATTTTGAATTAATTTCAATTGTTTCAATGTCAAAATCGGACTAAGAAAATCGTAATCTATTTATAACTTAAATTGTTGGACGGAATAATGTGACATTCTAAAACTTCTTTGTACAAGATATGTATAACGATCAAAATTAACAACATAATTCTCCGATAAATTTATCGGTACTTCAACCCTTTATTATATTGTACAAAAATCGTTTCGATTTTTAAGGGAAGCGGAATCCCGTTAGCGAAATAGATCGTGAGGTAGAAAAGGTAAAATCTGACTGGCAATTATTAAAGTCATACCATGGGGAATCTGGAAGCAAAAAGTTTATTTCTAGCTCAAAAACGAAGAAATTATACGATACATTGGAAGAAATGACACAAGAAATAGAAAGAATTCAAAAATCATACCTGGATCCAAAATCTAATCAGTATTTACATCGAAGTGCGACCAAAATGTTGGAAGCCTCTGAATCATCGTTTCAGGAAAGGGCGGATAATATCAAAGATGCTCTATTCTCTAAAGCAAATACATGTAGTAAATCCATTACCAGAAAGACAATCGATGAACGTTCAACGAGTACTTATGCAAATTTAAACTTAAATAAATGTTCGGAAGGCAGATCTTTACTCGCAAATAAACAATGTTGGAAAGATAAGAATGTTATTAAGCCGAATAGTAACCAGAATTTTAAAAAGGGGAATTTACACGATGCTTCATTGAAATCCCAAATGGCTTTTGAGATCGAAAATTATTTAGAGAATTATATTAATAACGTAGAAAATAATTTTAAAAACGAAGAACCGAAATGTAAAGACCTATATTCATTGCCAGATAGAGTGACGGAAATCGTAGATAATAACTATGATGAGGATCTTTTGGTAGAGAGTATAAAAAAAATTAATAATAATAGGGACGAAGCTTGTGTACAAAATACAATGTGCGAGGAACTTAGAAATATGAAAGATGTTGAATTTAACACACACAAATTACGTCCACAGAGAAATAATAATATAATATACTCTGATAGCTCAATTCAAACTCAAGCTGCTCTGAAAAATAATACTTTTATGGAGATGAGTTTGCAGGCACTAAATATTGGTTTGCCCCAAAATTCATTATCTCGCGTTCTTCAGTCCGAATATTTGAAAAAAGATGCATCGTTAAAACCTATGTAGAATTCAATATTAATACAAATAAAAGTATATACATATTGAACCAGATGTGTAAAGACATTTGTTTAAGGATATAGTTTAAATGTAGTAAAAAACATACTTTTTTTTTATTCTAGTACATGGCTTGCATAATCGGTAATTATATCTCTCTAAGTAAAAGGTGCTTTAAAACATTTTAATGTAGTATGTAGTATGTGAAAGTTAAATTTCTTATGTTTTACAGAATATACATTTTTCCTATATAAAAAATGAGAATTTCTTTTTTTACATATATATGTATATATACGTATCACAATATATCTTTTGTTCAGTGTTGGTAAAAAGATATACAAATTAAAAAATAAAACGTACTTAGGTAAGTTATATTCTTCATTTCATAAGTAATGAGTAACCAATTCCACCGTGTGCATTAAGCTATGGCACTATTTATAACGAGTAAACTGTTCTAACGCTGGAAAGAAAATATGAAACTTCCTTAGAGTGTACATGCTTTGCATCTTGATATGTTTTCAGCTAACCGATGTGTGATGTATAAACGTGCCATAATGGTGCCCTGTATTCGTGATAGAAATTTGTTTTTCATAATCGTATAGAATAAACACGATTCGAAGGTACATTTGCGCAGCAAGGTTTCATCGACAGTATAATTTCCTTGACTTTGACGATAATCACTTGCGAATTTGTTTTTAAACGGAGCATATCACAACACTGGAAGTGCAGAACTGTGACTTTGGTATATGATGGCTCCCGTAAAATTGATTGCCGCAGCTAAAACGAAAACTGGCATCCAACGACCATGTGATGCTGTCACTAATTCAGCCGTTAGTGGACCACATAAAATACCTGGGATAGTTGCCTAAAATATGTATAACTCATTTATCAGTGCATATATTACAGTATCAGTTGATAAGGAACACCATGATGACAATGATCAAAAATGTTTTTTTATAAAATATTTGTTGGAATAAAAGCATTATGAATGATTAAAGCGGGAATAATATAAAAGTATTCATATTATGTAAATATATTAAAAAAAAAATTATTCATAATATGTTTTTAATTTAATTTAACTATCATCATGATGTTCTGTTTTAAATGCAACACAACTAAAACATACAATGGTATTAGAAACCGCAAATGTAATTCCCGCATGATTCGGTGCTATATCTGCATGATTACTAAGATGGCCAGCAGAATTACATGCACAAAGTCCCATAGATATTGAAACAAAGCTACAAAGAATAATGTATCGTAATACATATGACAAATTATGTACACATAACACTTTCTTAATTGAACTATAATACTAACATTACTGCAGAAAGTAAGTTATCCACTGCACAGAATGCTAACAAAAATGCACCTGGACCAATCAAACCTATATTTGTCATTAATCGTCTTACAGACAAAACAGTCCACCTTTTCTGTATGAAATTATCTGCACTGTGTCCAGCAACTGTAAACAAAACTTATTTCTTTACTACAGATTGTTAACTAGTAATATCAATATTATGATTCATTTACACTTATAGCTCCTAAACTGTGCATCAGGTTTTCCTTGTTAGTTGAACACCTACCAATCCCAACAAGAGAATTCACAATATATGGAAGCGCTGTCAGGCTAATACTTTCTTTATTAGCAGACAAGTTTCTTGCCAAGTAAGTTGGCAACCATTGCATTATTATGTAATTACTCCAATTCATTGCAAAATGTGCTATGTACAATGCCCATAAAGGCCAATGGGAGATAAATTCAGTCCAACGCAAACTCCTATTTTGCGTAACCTTAAATAAAAGAAATCCTTAATTACACCCAAATATATTTTAATTTTACATTTAACTAAAAGAACATGTAACAACCTTAGGAACGAATAAAGGAATTTCATCCTGAGAATTTGTTTCCTGATAAAGTATTAACCATGTAAATGTCCAAATAATTCCAATTATTCCAAATAAATAAAATCCTGTTTGCCATGCTAAATGTGGACACAACTGAAAGAATATTTTCAAATGATATGGATTTTAAAAAACATGAAAATTATATTGAATGACAGAAAGACAAAACCTACAACAGATGCAACTACTTGTCCAACTGAACCAGCAGCTACAAGGTATCCAAAAGCACGAGACCTTTCCTCTACAGGAACATTATGAGCAAACAAGTGAAAAATAACTGGTAGGCCTGAAAGTAATATAATGTTAAATATGGTAATATAAAAGAATGAAATTGTATTTTCAATAATATATTACCTAAACCCTCCCCCAACCCTAAGACCACTCTACATATAATGAGCAATGGAACTGACTGTGCCAGAATTGGAGTTATAACAGTACTAATGGACCATAATAACACTGCCAGCATTAGTACAGTTTTGCATCCAAAACGACTTGCTGTATTTGCACCAATAATCTGATTTAAAGAAACAATTGAAATGAGCATTACATATGATATAATACGCAACAATATTTTAATAGTACAATCTTTAATATGAAATACAAATGTTATTAATTTTATTGTACCTGACTAGTAAAATAACCGAAGGCAAAAGCAGAAAGTATCCAACCTTGCCAATGTAAATTCCATTTAAACTGGTCGGTCATCGGGACAATCGCAATAGGCATTATAACTCGATCTGCCGCGTTTATAAAATTCGCGGCGGAACATAATGCTACAATCCGCGATGTTCGCGGAAGCATTCGAAATTTTGGCATACTTAACAAATTTTATTCAATCACATATCGTACAATCGCACTGCCTGATTCTAACCTCGAACGACACGTAGTACACAAAATTTGTTAAATAGTTATGTTGATCAAAGCTATATCAATGTTTACAGAAAACATTGTCACGATTTATATGATACTGATACGCACAGATACTGTACTTCAATCAATAAATTTCATAAAAACAAACGCAAAAACTGCTCACATTGTCACACTGGAAACATACCGTATGAGACTCAACGTGTCAAACACTACGGTTACATGAATCTGTTGGTGAACATATTTATCTACATCCTCCCTAGATGGTGCTTAAATCTATATAATTGCGGCGGCTTGCTATAATAGAGAAGAGACCTTCTTTATCCAAACGGAGATTGTCAATTTTATACTGAATGTATGATTTGTACTAACAGTTTGCTACTTCAATAAAATCCATCACTGCAAACAAACATGATATAAAACAATTAATAAATATATATATTACTAATAATATATATATTCAAATGAATTAACAGAAAAGCTATACAATGTAGTACCACTAACGAAAGATAGAATAAACTGAACATCCAATGTAAATTTTTGTCACATTGTCGGAGGATTACATTACCCCCTTATTATTTCTGCATTACTTACAACTTTACTACTAAAGTACAAATAAATATAAATAAGTAAATAAATAAAAGACGTGTTCTTTTTATTTTCTTATCTCAATATTAAATTTTTCTATATACTCGTAATTTTTTATAGATATTTATCAGAATATTAAACATAATTTAACGTACAATTTCTTCTCTTTTGTGCTGAGCCACGATCTGTTCGCTAAGGGTGGAGAGAGGCAAAAGGACACGTCTAATCGCAGCGTTAGGCCCAGTAGTTATGACGGCTCAGTTTAGGCACGTCCTTGTAGTGCTCGAGTCGCGAAAAAACAACGTAAACGTAATAGCATGTGACAAAGTGAGATGTATGTACATATGTACACATATACGAACATTAGCGTTGGATTTCGTTTCGATACGGCAGCGGCTTTTTATGTTCACCGAATTCCCATAACACGAAGGCTCGGCTACTATGTTTCCTTGAAGGACCGAGGTGGAGCGTGCGGCCAATTCCCCTTACCAACCGGATCTCTTAGCCACGTGATCAAGACTTAGCACAAAAGAAGCAAACTGTATATAAATTATATTATTCTATCATATGGGCATTGGAAACAGTTAAGAATTATCTACCGATTTTTATGTAAAAGAACTAAGGTGTTTAAATTTTCTGGTACCAAAATATTTAAAAAAATAAAACAAAGCAATTCGACGATGTGCATTGATTATCGCAAAATGTGTTCGTTCCCTGTAAGTAGGATATGTAGGTATATAAATACCCAACTGTTCGGGCCGGGCCAAAAATATCGGATACCCGACATCCTTAGTAAAGGCACAACTTCATTTGTAGAAATACCATTTGCTCTGTATAAAGAAGAAATGGAAAATACAAAAAAGGAAAGAAGTTAAAAAAAGTAAAAACGCATGATTTTGTAAAATTCACGCGAAGCATAAGGAAAATATGATCCAATGCTTAAAATACAAGACACAAGTTTGTGATTTATGTCTAAGAGTTACCAAAAAATATATTTGCTACGCTAATGCGACACGGGGTGCGCGACAGTAACAATTTTTCTTCAATTCCATTCGTAGGTACGATTTAGGCTATACGTGGTACAACTAAGGAGACCGGGCTTTTTAATTGTACTGATTTTGAATAAATTCAAAATTATTTTTTGTTTATTTAATATGTCCTACAATTTATACACTCTTTTTCTTATGAGGTATGACTTAAGCAACCTTACCTTAAATGTCAAGTCCATCAATGGTAATAAAAAAAGAATACACTATTTTTTAAATAATTATCTTTTTAATAATTATTCAACATCAACGAAACTATCATACAAGATTCGGTTTGCTGTTATTGTTCCTGTGACTAAACAATATGTACAATTGAGCTTTCTACTCCAATGGAACTAACCATCGTAGTATAACAACTTCATCATAACAATAGAACCAAATGTAGAGATGCAATATTACTGTATCAGTTGTCGCGCTATTTCCAGAATGAGTCAATCGTATTTCGTAAAAATTTACGCATGAGGAAGATGTTCTCCTTCAGGGTGGAAACCGTTTTCGTCGGCAACATAATTTACGGTGTACGCAGCGTTGGTAAGTGGGTCGACGAAGGAGTAACTGCCACGAACTTTGAGGAACTGACCATCGGTGCCGCCAGGAACTAATTCTGCAGTTTCTTCCTTAGTTTGTCCGTCGGAAAGTTGAAAACCATAATTGTAGTTGCCAAGACCAACGTTGTCCGACGGAGTTTCTTTCAGAAGTACAACTTCCGGTTCATGTATGGCGGGAGCAGCCATAGCAATGGCGACGAAGGCGGCGACAACAATGATCTAGAAAAAACGAAATATATTATGTTAATATTTGTATAACATTATTTCAATTATATAGTTTATATAAACTGTATTGAAAGCGTTTTGATTATTTTATAATTAAGGTGTTACATAAGGATTCCTATAGGTACATATAGGTGTGATAGCAATATTTAAAATAGGTTGCATTCAAATAATTGCAAAAATTAAACTTCGTTTTATTTTAGCTACTCAAAATAAAAATATAAATTTATATGAACATTGCAGTTTAGTAATAAAAATAAATGTTGGTGTTATTAAAGTATGAAAGTTGTAGTAACGTTTACGAAAAAGCAAAAGTTAAAATGGAAGTTGCAAATGAGAAAAACGAAGAAACAACAGTTTGCTGTGATACATACGGTTTTCATTTTGGAAGTAGATGTATGTGGCTAGTCTCGATTGGAAGACTGGTGTGATTTCCGAGAGCGGTTTGCAATTTTATAGTGGTCCTCCTCCTGCCGAAATTCACGCGATTCCACTGCGTTTCTCGATAAACTCACCTTTCACCTTGGCTCAATATGTTAGAGGCAGAACCGTTGATGGTTTGACCTTCATAATACACCTGTGTAAGGCTGTGACGAAATATAAATTTTCCGTTTTGTATAAGATTTGACATGATTTCTCTAGAAAATTTAGAAGGAAATTGGGTGTTATGCGTGCGTGTACAATAAATTCAAACATGATGTAAATTATTGCTGATTCAAAGTTCTTCGAAACTTTTCAGATACCAAGTCAATAATTATATTTACCGACTTATGAAAATATGTAATTCCGAAGTTTAGGTTCGAAAGTCAATATACACGTAATAATTAATATTTAATTGAAACCATAGACAAAAATAGTTCCATGCAATATCGAATAAATAAAAGATTTTAGTGCATATTTTCGAGTTACTTTTGCTTGAAAAATTAACTAAACGGCATTTAAAAAAATCTTTTAATAATTACCATATTATAATCTCTTATGTATGTATATAAATGACTCGATATTTGTATAGAACTTGAGTAATTATGGAATTTATTAAGATTTAAGATTTGTTTTCTTGTATTTCTTTGTATTCCATTAAATAATTCAAAAGTATATGTATCTGTATATGTATACATATAGTATTATATAGATAGAAAATGGCTTTTCTCTGTCAATTTATTATATCTTCATTCCACTACAATATATAATATTATTTATGGTATTGCTTGTATATCCATGCAATAGAAAATAATTTAATAAGGCTAGTAGACTTTTATTTGATTATCGTTTTTGTAAATTAATGTATATTTGAAAATATATATGACATGAAAATATATATATTTAATGATCATATCACTCATTACAACTTATATTTTTTATAAACTGCAATAATAGAACGAAATGAAATGATTGACAACTAAAAGATTTCTAAAAATAGAAATCTCACTAAATTTACATTTTTTGGGGCATTTCTATCCTTCACATTAATTAAATTTTAATTTTAAGACACAGTTTCTAAGATTTATTTCCCCCGTTCTGCCTCGTCCATTCTCCGTTTATACAATAAATGCAGAAAAAGGAACATTAAGTATAGACGTAACCTTTAGAACACTATAATCTGCAGAATAGCATACATGATAAAATGACATCAGAGTATTTATAAATTTGCATGACCTTCTTACGAAGTACCAATAAATTTTTCACAGCCGCGGATGTTAAAACCTGTCGACCGATAATGTGACAGTCGTTTTAATCAATATTTGCCATCAAAAATATTTCAGAGGGACCATGAAGCAGAAGGTACCTCAAGAATAATCGATTTCCAAATACCATTTATAGATGAATCAAGAGAAACCGGTCATACAATCCGACGAACTTTTACGGCGCGAATCATTACGACACTGTCCTCGTCAACCACGTAATCATCTTCATGGCGTCTCATCATTGAACGCTCTGTGGTAATAGGTGAAATTGACACTTCAGAGGACATCGTCATACATTCATACTCCCTTTCCTCTTTATTTTGCTAAGAATACGGATTTTATAATAGTTTCTTCCGTGTTATTCGATATTATATAATACTCGCTAAAAATATTCAAAACGCGTGCCAAAATTCAAAGCATTTATTCTTTGTTTGTGATCGATAACATTGTTTTGTTTATATCGACCTGTTTCATTCCCTCTGAATGAAAGGTTAAAAAAAAATCAAGGGTTGGAGAAAGGGTTAGAATCAAAGGTTAAAAAAATTAAAACAGAATCTGGTTAAAAATTAAACCCATTCTGTTTAAAATATTTCCTTCTTTCAATAGAATTTATTGAATTAATATCATCCAGTTATAAGAGTGAGTTATTTACATAAAGTTTATTTAAAACGTACTTCATTTTATTAATATTAATAACAACAACATTCATAATAATAAGAAGAAGAAGAAGAATATTCATTTAAGACTTTGACTGCCACGTCACTCCAATTCGGATGAACGAACCAAGGAGCAATTGTTATGAAAAATCTTGACAGGTTAGTTTCTACTTTATTCAGAAAACTGTTTCGACTGAATGGGAGTTTTGATGATTGTCTATTTGGCAGTCAACGTGTTAATGAAATGAACTCCTTGTATATAATACTTGTACAAGAATCACTAGAAAGATAATTATATTATTGAACAAATTTTTAAGATTTACATGAAAGTTGCAACACATGTTTTAGTTGGTTTTAAAAACAAGGAAATTGAAAAGGTTAGATACATACTTAATAATAATAGAGAAATTAATACATTACATTAATACTCTACACGAATGAAACAAATCAAAGCGAAAAATATACAAGACAGAAAATATGAATTGTTTATGTTCATACATATATTAAGTCATGAAATAAAAATACCCATATTCCCGTGACATTAAAAGTCAAGAAGTGCATGAACTAGATTGAAGGTCATGAATTTATGTAAAAATCTCTTATTTGAATTAATTTCATTACGTTGCTCTCATATTATGCGTTTTTCTCACTGTTTAAGGAATTATAAAATTTTAAGTTTTTTCTTATTACAGTGAAATATCGAAATATGTCGTTTGAATTAAACCAGAACTGGGGTGAAAACAACGAAGATAATTTTTATAAAGTGCGGTGTTGATAAAAATATTAATAACTTGATAAGTAAAAATTAGTGTATTTATATGACAAGTAGCCACAATGCATTTACATGCATTAATGGTTCATAAATTTCATTAAGAATGAATTAGATAAAAGCTTTCGTGAGAATTAATTCTGTTTACATTGTATCACTTACTAAAACTATTAATACGAGCCATAACAATTGTTCCGCGTATCGTAATTCTCAACTACAAAAAATTAAAATGTACATAAAAATTCACAGTTCACTCGTGAAGGCGCAGTTACACTAGCAAATAATTTGCGAAATTTTTCTTCTGATAGCAACTGAATTGAACTTGCCACCAGCAATCTCAAATGTATTTGCGTAGGTCATGAGAGTCACTATTACAATCACGAGTCAATCACAAGGCTAAAGCCTAGGAAACTTGAAATGCCTTGAAGTCTTCGATTGTTTTCAAGCATAAAGACTGGAGCATTGAATGATCTCAAGACTCGAGCTTTCAAAGCTTTAAGGCTAAATTGTAAAGCTTCAAAGACTCGAGCTGTATTGAACTCTAAGTCTTTAAAACTTTGCTTGTGAAGGTAACCCTTGAAGCTTCAAAGACTCAAAATTTATTGAACTCTGAACCTTCAACACTCAGCCTTTAAATGTAAGTCCTGAAGCTTCACAGACTCGAGACAACATTATAAGTAAGAAGTCAGATCAGGTGACAGATGAATCAGAAACTAATCGTTTAACTGCAAAAATTTATTTAAACTAACGGAGTGTACAATTTAAGCGGGGATGTGGTCACCCTGGGGATGGAAGCCATTTTCATCAGCGACATAGTTGACGTTGTATCTGATGTTGGTCTGCGGATCAACCCAGCTAAAGCTACCACGAACAGCGAGAGCCTCGTTTTCAGTTCCAGGGTTGATTACTTCAGCGGTTTCCTGGTGAGCCTGACCATTGGACAGTTCGTAGCCGTAGTTGTAGCCACCGACACCAATGTTGTCAGAAGGCGTTTCCTTGACCAGCACTACATTGTTTTCTGGTACAAGCTGAGGTGCAGCATAAGCGGCAGCGGCGAAGAGGGCGAAAACAACGAACTGCGAAATAAATAAAACAATTAACACCTCGATTTTAAGACTCTTATGTAATAAAATTGAAACTCGTGATATTAATGATTTTATGTTGTAAACGAGATTTCTACGTGGCAAATATACCCATATTGTCGTAATCTATTTGGTGGTGCTGCACTATAAAATGCAAACTTGTAATTAGAATTTTTTTCATTTATAGCTTACTTCTGTAAGAATATAAAAGAATATAAAAAGTTTCATAATGTTTTATTCAAATTATTTTTGAGCTACTGAAAGCAGTGTTAATGCAAAAGGTAAAATTCTATTTTACTTTGGTTTTAGTATTTGTGACTAAAAACTTTTAATTGGATCCTTTAGATCTGATGCATAATGTAACATATAGTAGTTTTATTGTGTAAAAGAAAAGGTGAGTTAATCATTCGAAACCTTGAACTTAAAATAAAAATATTAGTGATCGGTTTTATCGATAACTGATACGAACAGCTTCATTCTGCATGTTTCTTAAATAAATTTAAACAGAATAACTCAAATACTACTGAAATATTTGTAATTGTATAATAAACTTTAAATTTGAAAGAGTTAAAGAAGTTCTGTAGAAGAAAACGCAGAGTCATAATCTGTTAGGGAATTTATGTATTCAAAACTATGTCAGTATGTTTGAACGTAGAAATTTCGATAAACGAATGATAATTCGTAAGGTACACAAGGATTACTTGCATCGCGTAACTTGTCAATCAATTATAAGAAATTTTTTGACGAACATTTTTACCAAAAGAAAACAGTAGTCTCCTTCATAATAACTTTTTGTTAAAAAACAGTAAATTTATAGAATTTGGACTTTTCAATAATTTATAACACACGATATATTGGTATATATCGTTGAACAACCAGAAAAAATGAATGATAAAAGCTAAAAGAAACGGTTGTGAAAGAGATATCATTGCCAAATATACGATCTCTATATCGACCAGCAATCTCCAAACTTTTCCTTTGATCACGAGACCTTAATTACTTTTGCATTACTGTTAATTATTGCAAAATAATCGAATGTATAAGTATTTACGTTTTACTTTCGCCATGAAACGCGCACGTATTTACTCATTCTAAGATTCGACTCCTTTTCGTGTATATATAAACATTTTTAAATGCAATATATGCGTATTACTAGTAATACAAACAAATGTAGCTATTAAAATTGATCCGGATTCACGATCACATATCGAACTCAATCCCAACCCTGTTCACCCGAGCCCGCACAGAAGCCCAACACGCCAGATGTATCTACTTGAAGCATGCAACATCCGATTACCGGCAGTCGTAACAATCACAACAATATACGGAACAACGTAATACGTTAGCACAAACTGATGCTCGTTTAATCGTCTCACGCGATTCGTCACTGTCTTCTAAGCAGCAGGAACGCTCGTTTTCGCGGTGGATATCTCCGGTGCGTTACGTAAACCCGAGATGCTACCCGTTACCGGTGATTTACTTAAAATAAATTTACAACATACAATTTGCATTTCAACGGTGGAACAATGATAGCAGTTTTACCACGTAATTGCAACGCGTGTGGTTGTATATCGTTAATGATACATACAATCCCGCGTGCACGTTAATTGCGCGCCGGTAACTGCCGTTAGATCGCGGCGATCTGAAACGATCGTGACTTTGTTATATCGAGAGTCGTATCACGGTCGCGAAAAGACCGAAGAGATTATTAGTCCCAAAAGAAAGTGAAACCATGTCGAGAAGAGAATCCGGATCTTCCGAATGAAATGGAACACAAATACACTCGGTGATCGTTTAAAAACGGTAGTAGTCAAGGCTGACACGCACCAGCTTCATGGTTGGCTTTTGGATTGATTTCCGCTTGGTTTCTCGGAGAAGATCAGGCAGGTATTATCCTGAGTTGTGTTAGATCACGATACTGATTCAATGCTGGTCTACGGGGGTTATATACTCAGATTTCGATACGAATTCTGCCCCCACCACCGGCGAAGAAGCCAAAATTCTGCCGCAGCGATGTTGAAATCGTCGTGTATGGCATTGGTTCGGCAGCGACGGCGGCAGAACGATGACCGACAAAAGGAAGAGGCGGTGAATGTCAGCCAGGAATTCGAGGAAGAGTAACCGACAGCGAAAATCGTGGTTTCACCACGGCCCCATCTTCCTGGGATCTTTGGGAGCCATACCAAACTTGGATAGAACAATGAACGCGAACTGACTGAGGAACACGGAATAAAATATGTTTCGTTGTCTTATTGCACCCTTTATGTGCCGGATTGGATTATCTATGTATTTCATTGGTAACCACTTTCAGAACTCTTTATTTCATATTTGTTTGTGAATGGTTTTTAGAGTCGTAGGAGCTTGAATTCGTGTAATGGTTGAATTGAATTAAATTACTTGGTAGGAAATTGAAAGATGTGATTTACGATAATATTTCAATCAAAAGTTAGTTCAAAACACCGTTGTTTATAATTAGATATCAGAATTTGAAAAGACGATTTTTGATATAAGGTGTTAGAACCACGTTAGTACATGCAAATACCTAATTCTATACAAACACTTATGTGCAATGTTTGAGGAGCAGAATAATTAAACAGTTATAATATTGTATAATGTGTTACACTTATTTTCACTGCTTATGTATGAAATTGCTCGAACGGAATTTTAAAAATATTTACTTTTTACTTTGCGAAAAAGGAAAAATATGCAAAGTCAATTTACACTGATATAACATTAATTAAAATGAATAGTTTGAAGCATTCTTCTTACGTTGAAAATTAGTTGAAGAACACAATTAATTTGAAAATGTTCGTTAAAAATATAATGTTTATTATTAATGATTAAAAATAACACGTACAACGTTTGTAACTTTTATAATAATATTACGAATGGTATTAGAATATTTTGTATTAAATATTAAAGAGCTAATCAGGTATTTAATATTACGAAAGAATACTAAACATCTTAGCACATCGCAAAAACGTGGTTTCGTGTCTACATAAACAATGTTTTGACTATACACTCCAAACGTTCGAAATCAATATCAACGATTAAACAATCAAAAGAAGAAAGGAATACACCTACGACAACTGTTCAGAAGATACGTCAGAAGATTTACTTAGCATTACATAACCGGAGCTCCTCTTAATGGGAGTATCGATAAAGACAGCAAAGGGGTTTTCAATATATCAACACAGCTTTCTAAAAATTGGGTCTAGCCTGATGTTGCAACATAAGAGCCATCTTCATATTACATTAGCATTCGTATTTTACATTTTAGAAATTTATATTCTTTAACATCTTTGGAACCACATTCCTCACTATAGAATTGTTACTGTGGAATTTAGTTCAAAAAATCTCTCGTTTTGTGCGCAATAAAATGAAAAAATAAAGTCGGTACTCGTCAAACGCATAATGAATGTAGTGTTATTATTCAGAACTTTTTTGTTAAAAAACATGGTACTAGAAATCAATGTTTTAATTTAATTTGTACTGGACTGTAAATGAAATCATGTTTTTATGATACCGGCCGATAATCACTAGCTGAGGGAAGTCATGCATACATGATGCTGGCGTCCAAAGTGTTAAGATTACGTAAACATGTATTCATCCTCCCGAAAGAGGTAAATTTCACGGTACGAAACGGAAGAAGTTCAACTCCAGCATGTATCAAGCTATCAGAAATTTATTCATGTTTAATATTAATAATGAATGAACAATCCAGAAAACAGCTACCACGAACACCTTTCTTTTAGTTCTTAAACATTTTTATAGTCATCTGACAATTTTTTACTGTAAATACGTTAAAACTGAGAATTAGAAAAGAGTGTTTTTAGTTATACATTGAATAAATCTCAGATATTTATTCAAAATCAGAATTTTCTAAAGTAACCGCAAGAAACAGAAATGAAATAGAAATCGATTTCTTTTTGCGTAACCAGTTAATTGTGTCTGACGAGTATACACTTCATTTTTTAATTGTATCGCGCGCAAAACGAGAGATGTTTCGAACTAAATTCCGCAGTTAACAGAGTATATTTCTAAAATGCTGAAAAACGAAACAAGGGAGATTATCATAAATACATAAAAATCTCAGTCTAATGATAGAAGTCGACGCGACAGCGTTCGCACGCGAAGCAAAACATCGTGTTTTACGGAATCAACGTAACGTTTAAATCTTGCAAATATATTCAAAGCAGTGAAGGTGAAAAATTGTATTCGCAGGGAGGAATGAAGGAGGTTGCGTCAACGCGACCTTGTCGGGTTGACTAATTGTTCGAGTGGCCATTCTTCCGCGTACAGCATCGAAAAACGTTGCCATTGTCTAACCAGAGAAGATTGGAAATTGAAGTACAACGATTTAAGAAAGAAAACTACAAAAGTTGCGTAAACCAATCGTTTATACAAATGCTCGAAACAGCCGATGATCACACAGCAGAGAAGAAGAGAAAATCACTCTTCTTCTGAAGAGCTGTTCTGTGTCACGAGCGAGCACGAAGTTTACTCCTTCTTGTACCCTCGCGATTGACGGAAAGCTATAGGACGAAAAACCTACGGCGTAATAAAACCTATGTACGTTTTGTAAATACGTACGCAAATCTTGCTGCACGTATGTTTGCAAAGACATCCACGAGTCTTGGGATACTCATGAAAAATTAAGTATGCGGAAAATTATTAAAGGGATATTCCAACATGATGAGTGAAAAAATCGTTTTAAAATTAAAAATATCCTTATAAATTTGTAGCGATGTTCGACAAAATAGCAAATTGGTTACTACGATATTCTTAGAACTATTGCACTGACCGAGTTCAAATTTTGCTTTATCGGTGCATGCATGGTTATTGTTGGTATTTCAATTTTGATTTCTAGAGTCATTTAAAAATAAATAAATACGAGAACGAAACTTCAAGTTCAAAGCACCGTCATTTTATCGATTTTTAATATATTTCTTTCTTTTTGGTATTTACCTGCGATAGCTGTATTTGTGCTGTTTGACAATTAATGGGGGTTTTTTGTTCAAGGTAAGCAGAACAGCTCAAATTATGACAATCAATAACCTACTTTCTTTTTTATAATTAACTTTGACGTGCTACATGGCAGCCAGTTTTAAATATTATTCAGCGAAGAAATTTGAAATCATTCTTGAGAGAAGCAAAAATATTATGAAATAAAGCTTATGATAACAACTTTTACTGAATTTGTATAAGTAATTCGTCAAAAATATCTAAACAAACACTCGTCACATTAAAATACTAACACTTTGTATTATATATTAATTTCATATCATTTTTAATATCAAATAATACATTTTTATATCGAAATCGTGTTGGTTATAGGAAATATCTATTCTATACATGAATAGTTGCATTCTTGGATATTATGATTCAAAAGTTTCCAATTTCTAATAAGAAAGTAGTAAAATATATAATGTAATATTTAATATAAAAATAAATAATAGTTCGGTACATATATCTTTTATTAAACCTAACTCTATCCTAACCTAAAATCAAGAAATTTCAAAAATATTCTTATAAATACTTTAAAAACTAAAAGACAGTGGGGTTTACATGCAAAAGAAAAATTTACTGAAAATATTAATTTCTACAACATATATCTTAAATTTGTGGTAATATAATTTAAGAGATCAATCCTTTCTTTCAGACACCTAATGAATCTAAAGAGTATTTGTATCTATAATGACCAAATTTTACCATAATAAATTGTACTATATTAAAAAATCACAATGATTCCATAATATTAAATAAATGTCACTTTCTTTAATAAGACTAGCACAGGGTCTATCCTAATACTTATAAACAATGTAATTACATGTGTTGCATACTCGACGATTGTAAATAATCTTCGTGTCCTTAGTGGACAGAGTTTATGTTCTCGATAATTTTATAGCGCGTTGCGTAATGTATTTAATAAGAAAGGTCCTTATATGCGGATTACAATATCCTGATTCCAAATATTACCGTGTCTTGCTTCACTCTTCAATAGGTCCTGTAATAAGGTTTTATAGTGAAGATTTCATGATAAATATTCGGTCATTAAAATATTTGTAGAATAACTCATATTATTATTAAAACGTTTGAATTTTATTAGAAATTGTAAATTTTTCTGTGATAAAATTATTAGAAATCTTGTATCCTATTTGAAATTGTTTTCTAACTACACAAATTTTTGTGCTGTTAAATCATATAAACTATGTATGTTATACCAATAAATTCCCAGTTCTGTTTCGATACAGTTATTTTCTCGGCGCAACATGTAAGTATAATATTATCAAATTTCTATACAGACTTCATTGTGCATCTGTTTTTAAATATAAATTAGTTTAGTTATACGTATATGTTGTAAGTGTTTAAATTTTCATTTAAAATCACCCAAAAAGTAAGACAATTCATTTTCATAATATATATTTTAAGGCATTTTTAATCAAATAAAATACGTTGCAGACTATTGGATTATATTTGCGTTTTTACAATTACTCTTCATTTGTTCGTAATAATTGAAACTATATAAAGTATCAAGCATCCGTAAGACGTATTACTAAAGAAACTAAGCTTATAATTATCCAACGAGTCAATCAAACACATTTAAGCAGCAGTAAAACGTTTACGAAAGATATTGTTAATTTTCACGGATAGTAATTTCAGTTCCAAAACAAAAACAAACAGTTTATATCGGAAAGATGAAAGAAATAATTTAATCGATCGTTTCAATTGCAGATATTATATTGAAACAAAACTGAATAATCTTCTTCGGTTACTTAATAGTTTATTAAGTAAATAACCTGTATTAAGTAGAATAGTTTGACAAGTATAATACAATCGTTTATTAAATAAATAACCTATATTAACCATAATAGTTTATCAAATATAATACAATAATTTGTAAAGTAA